ATCTTGGATTACTGGTAAATGTTCCTTTTCAATTTTAGCTGGAATTTTTTCAATTTTTCCTTCGTTAACATCACGTGTAAAGTGCATAAGAATAGCATCAAGTAAGAAAGCTGGTTTTAAATGTGGTGAATTAATAAGATTATATGAAGCTTCTGGATGTTTTTCTAGTATAGCACAATCATTAGCTGCATGATTATAAACAAGATCTGTTATTGATAAAATATTCCATTCATTAGCCATTTTATCAACAATTTTTTTAATATCATCATGTGTTTTATCTTTACCAAATAGTAAATTTAATTCATGATGATGTGTTATAGAATAAGATGAATTTGATACTTTATATAATTGTTGTATTGGTGTAAAATGAATCATATTATAATTACTATGATAAGCAATAGCTAAACGAGATTCCCAATCATCCATTTTTCCTAATGATTTAGATAGAACAGTTAAACACATAATTTCATCGGAATCACTTGAAGGTGAAATAGCAAGAGATGGTTCAACGATAAGGTAGCCTTCGCCTTTTTTATCTTTAGCTGTAAAATAATAATGAATAGGACCAGGACGTGTACAAAGAAGTTGTGCAAAACGATCATCATTTTTTGATGACCATGTCAATTGATGATAAACTCCACGTTTATAATTTGTCGAATGATAATCACAAAAAAGTTGTACATCATAAGGAGTTAATGATGATGCTAATGTAAAATGTAAATGTGAATTACTTGGAATATAATATATTCCAGGTGAAGTTAAATTTACATTTGTATCAAGAACAAGTGAATGAAAGCATGCAGATACAGACGATGTACGTCTACGATGCATTATACTACAAGAAGAAAAATGACGTACAAATATAAATACGAAATTAGATTTCAAGGCATATTTGTAAAAAATTGCTTATCAATTCAATCTTCATATGAAAGAAGATTGAATCAATATATATGAGAAACTAAAATGTTCTTGAATATCCGGACATAAATCTAGAAAAAAAGAGAAAGAATAAAAATATTATCGAATAAAACTAAATACGAATAAACAGAAAACCAATAGAAAGAAATATACGTAATATTGAAACGACGCGACATCTATAATGGAAACAATAGTATTAAGTTCATTTTCCACGTAAATATCTTGACAACCGATTGTTAAAAGGTTACTTTTTAGTTTCCATTTTTTGAAAATTATACTTAGGAAATTTTCTTAAATATTCATAACTAAAGCAATTGAATTGTGAAACAGTATATCAAAAATACAATTACTTAGCAACGAGTCAATATCCATTCAGTCGGATGGCAGGTTTTTTAGAGCTACGTCGTAATTCTGAAAAAATTCTTGTTGAACTTGAACATTTAGCAAAGTATATTACATTTATTTCTTAATTTTACTTCAATATTTCTATTCTAAAATATATAGGGAAGCTGAATATGCTCGACAACATGAAAATAAAACTGCTATAGTTATTCAATCAGTATGGCGCGGTTATCAAGTTCGATCTCATGTTCAGTTTGTGATTTCAATTTAATTTAATCTACATAGTACATAATTATATTTACAGATTTTTAAATAAATGTGCGTCGGTAATACAAAGATGGTGGCGAAGACATAAGGCTAAACAAATCTATCGAGACAAACTTGAAGTATAGTAATAGAATTTTAATAAAAATTATATTAATCTAACCTTATAGGAACATGTACTTCAACTTCGATTAAACTATTATGATAGCAAAGCAGTGAAAGTATAAATTGTTTTTTTTTCTTCTATTATATTTAACAAAAAAAATTGTTTTCAAATATTTAGATTCAAAAAATATGGCGTGGTTATTATGTACGTAAATATGTGCTCGATTATTATAGTCGAAAACGATATCTCAATGGACTTGAAATAACAAATGAACAAATTCGGTATTTTTTTTCTTTTTATAATACACTTCATATAGGATTTTGTTTTTTAATAGAATACAATTAATTGAATATCGAGATTATCTAGAACAAAAACAACTTGAACAACAACGTCAAATGAATATAGCTAAATTAGAAGAAGAAGCTAAAAGAACACATTATTTAGTCAGCACAAAAGTTGTACCTGGAATATACAATTCGAAATATTTAGAGTAAAATATATTATAATCTTATTTTCTATTTATAAACTAAAATCTATTTGATTAAAGAGCTCCAAAAGAAATGGAAATAATATTGAGATCTACAAAATTTGATCGACCAAAAAGAACGAAATCTTTGAAGGTTAATAAAGATGAAGAAATATCAGCAGTAAATAAATTTCTTCCACCACTTAAACCGAAACCACAAGTATGCTTATTTTTATTTATATAAGTTTTTTAATCTTCAAAGAAATTGTCTAGGGTCCTTTTCGTGCACCAGAAGATGTTCGTTACCAACGTTATCGTCCATTACAACCATCATTACGATGTGAAACTGATTATTTTGCAACAGAAAAAATACGTGAAGAAATTAAACTTCAAGAATGGGTCGAACGAGTTCATGATGACACGTAGATATTTTAAATTTTCATTAAATACTAATAATTTTTCTTATATCTTTTTTAGATTTAAAGCAGGTCTTTTTCGTGATAAACCTTATCCTCGTCTACTGGTTGGAGAAGAACCGTTTGTAGAAGCAACTAAACTTGAACGACTATCATTACGAGAACCTAATAAACAACAATGGATAAATGAAAAGGTTTTATTTTGTAAATAATTTCCAACAAGTAATATGTATTTTATTTTTTTTAAGGGTTTTCGATCATTAGTTCATGGTATTCCAGAATTTGATAAACTTGAAACAACTTATGTTGAACCTCATTTTTATTATTCAACTTCATAATTCTGTCTATCTTTCGTTCTCTCACAAAAGCTTTTTTCTATATATATTTTTCAAATTCTACGATAAATACATAATCATAAAATGGCATTTTAATGTCAAAACGAATATTTAGAATTTCTTTCACTTTATTGAACTTATTACTTAAATATCCAAACATGGTTATGAATTTAAAAAAAAATTAGTACAATCGTAGAATATGATTATATACATCATCAATTGTTATTACTATTTTTATTACATACAACAAGTTTTTTGTCATTTCACTATTGTATTAATATAATTTAATCTATATATCACAACAAAGTTCATTATTCACATACAGTTGTCTCACAATATATAAGAATAATAATATTTCTCAATTCAACAATTCAGTACGTGCTTTAAAAACTATAAGAGAGATCTCTGCAAAATATTTATATACTGTAAAAGATTCTGAATTTCTCTATGAAATCATTTATTTTTCATGATAATTGTTATTGAAAAATTTCTACAGACCTACTTTATTTTTATTAACATTAAACGATCATTTATGATATTTATAAAAGTGATTAATATCATGAAAAAATACGAATAACTATACCGGTTGACCTAATAACAAAAAAATATAATGATATAGTTGACCATTATCACGCAATATTATCTACATCTGTCGTTAGTTCATAAAAGATAATTACCGAAGAAGAATTGCGTTGGTGTCATATGCATTAAGAATATTCTCAAAAGCTGTCGATAATTGTTTTTAGGACAAAAAAAAGTATACTTAATAGAAATAAAAAAAAGCGATTAATATTTGAAAATTAGTTATTAAAGTTATTATGCTATTGTATAATCAAAATCAACAAAGTCATAAAAAATCTTAAGATTCTATTTTGATCATATATATATCATCTAATTACTTTTGTTGACATTCTTTGACCTGTAGTTTTTCTCTATAGACAGTTAATGTTAAAAATAATATCAAATTCATACGACTATAATATATAGAACTTATGAAAATAGTATAGATGTGGGCAATAGAAAAAAAAGAAACAGAGGGTAATATCTCACAGCTCATGACTATTGTCTGACAATCGAGAAAAAAAACAACTTTCATCTAAAAACCTATCAAAGACTTTTAATAATTATCTATAACCAATGTCGAAATTCTCGTATAATATTTTTAAATCAATAAATTTAAAACTTGTATTTACCTATCAAATATAATTCGAACTTTGAATCCAATATGAAGGAAAATAATTGTCATCATCATATGTATTTATTGCGACGTTTCTTTTAAATAAGTTTTTCTTCTCATGTGACTATTGGAAGTTGGTATTTAGTGCTGCGGCGAACAGCTGTAACCATTATTAATTACTTTTTTTAATAGAAGTATTAAAATAGCGTGGGAAAAAAAATAATTTTGAATTGATTTATACTTTATTAAAATTGAATTATTTCAAACTTATATCTAATAGAAATGTAATGATATATGCTGACTAGATATTCTCGTTTCACTAAAAGAAAAACTGTTTTCAATAATAAAAAAAAATAAATTTTGAATTTCAGTTGATATAATTCAAATTAATAATCATATAGTTATATAAAATGAAAATATTTTTAACATAAACGCGCATTTAACATCTTCTACTTTGAATATATTGTACTTAATTGATTTTCTTTTAAACGAGACTTTAAAATGTATTATATAATTTAAGAAACTAATTTTGTGAGTGGGTAGTATTAGAAAAAAATGTAATGATTATTAAATATATTTATAGTAAGTATGATGTATGTTATTCAGTATTCATAAAAATGATTTTTCTGATAATTATCCATTTAAACAATATGCTTTTATGTTTTTTTTCTAGAAAGAAATATGGGCACCAGAAGTTATCATCTTTTGTTTGATATGACAAAAACGAATGTAAAAATAATAAAAAAATGTTTTTAATTAACCATTAATATGGTCGATACTTTTCAATAATAAAAAAAGACATTAAGGAGACAGAAAAACAATTAAGTTAAACGATTCAAGAATCTATATAATAGCGGCATCAGGACAGAAACTAATCACTATTTTCAATCATTCGATCAAGAGAGACAGAGATATAGTTTGTCTCAACATGATCACTGCCGTTGATTATATGATACTAAAGCGTTTATTATCGAAAATGAATCCCCCATTGGTTTGGTTTATTCTTATTCTTACCTTCCTTTCATCTATTCCGGTGACTGGGTAAGTTAATTAAATAATCGAAATGTTTTTTTAATACGAACTAATTTATATTACTATTTAGTGCACAAGTTATCTCAACCTCTACAAAATCGGATGGTAAAAAAATGAAACAAGAAGAATTTATCTATTTAATCATCATCGATTCATATCTAGCACAATAAATTTTATGATGAAATAGAGAAAAGGAGCAGAATTTTTTAGTAGCTAAAAGAAAAAAAAGAAATGTTCTTATGTAAAATTTAGTAATTCGACTGAAATAGAAAATCTCTAATACTAAAGAATTCTACGTTTATTAAGAAAAATATTTGTTATTTGTATTATTTTTTATTATAGTCTGCGGATGCAATCAAACAGTGAATCTGCTTGCACGTTCTGAATATTTTAAATTCGACACTAACATTCCTGATGATCAATTGGTTCTTAAAAATTTATTTACCCCTCCTCATAATTTAACATTTATAAGGAGCAATGCTAGCATGACACCAACATTAACATTTTCAGTTACCAAAGGCCCTGTTGATCTTACATCAATACACATCGTTGGTAGTCAAAGTGAATTCATTGCTTATGTAACACTAGCCAGTTCATCAGCAAGAAATGGTAGAACAGCACTTGAACCAATTCGATCTAATAAAGGTGTTATTGAACAATGTTTTTATCAAGTATATGGCATTACATTGGAGTTAGCTAATTTAACTGTTTCACCAACACCACAAATGTTTCAAATGAATATAACAGCATGTGAAAC